CACAGCCGGGTAAAAAAAAGCGCAGCTGCTGCAGCCCATTTTGCAAAAACTGGCGCTGTTTCGGGTAATTTCTGTGTACAGAAATTTCACATTGAAGACTGCATTCTATCCTACAGACGGGTCCCTTCCACGAATTCTGCCCCGGTTGCGCTTTTGAAGGCACGGGTCGGAGACGGCTATCGCCACTGGCCTAGTATTTGAGCGATGGATGCCTGGCGTTGTCTCTGATAGCCTAGCCAAGGAGGTCGTGCGTGGTTGGCATAGTTCTTGGTGTGTCGTAGGGTGTCATCTAACCTTTGAGTTAGACGAGCAGAAAAACCCTCCACTCTTAAGCTTCTTTCAGTACATGCTTACTCTCACAAAATCACATCATAACAAGAAGGTCAATCCTCAGGTCGATGGCTGGAAAGACAAAGAGAATCTAAAAGGATCTCCGGCTCTCTCTCTTGAGAACAGTGTGTAGCATAGTGCTCCAAATGCGAACAGAAGTAAAGGAAACAATCATGTGCGCCAGAATTTTGTGACTGTATCGACTGCTGCCATGTTGCCCACAGAGAGTCGGACAACTCGCCCAAATACACCCTTCTTTCGTTTGGGAGAGGAGCTCTATTTTCAGTAATGCTCACAATTTTTCCTTTTTTCCCTTCATTGTTATTGCATGCCACTTCTCCACACTCACTTTCAAGCGTAAAAATACTCTAAATCAATTTTAACCCTTGCCTTTAGTCCACGCAACTCCACGCAGATACGGTATCGAGAAACCTGTGAGAATCTTATGCAAATGAAGAAACGGAAGCAATTGCTGTGACTTTCTAAGCGTAATGCGCCTTGCTGTTTATTCATTGACTTCCGAGATTACTTATTTGCAGGGGATCAATCTAAAATTTGAGTGTTAATTCAAATTTTTTCAGCAGGACCGTTACCAGTGTTCCATCCACTCAGCAATGTGCCCACTAAACACAACAGCTATGCTCTTTTATTTCTATTAGTTCTATATTTCACTCATGTTTCCAGATATGGTCATATGGTGATGTCAACAAATATTGCTCCTCAGAGTATTATCAATTCCAGAATGATAGAATTTTGGTCCTGAAAATGTACTGCTCAAAGTTTGGACTTTCGTTTTGATAATTTTTCATAAAGCAGTTTTCTCTGGGTTTTCTACAAAGGAAGGCACAGCTTGAACAAGATGCGCACGAAATACCACACTGACGACAGCTCGTTGTTTGTGTGGGCTTGGCATGCTCCTGTTTAATTTTCCAGACTTGTCATTACTCCTTTGATAACTCTTCTGCTGGTCATTGGTTCACTGTTTCTCTGGTTAAGATACTGCGCGAAAGTTTTGGAAAGTAATTATGTCAAGTATTGGGTTGTCCAGAAAATCCTGCGACACTTTGTCCAAGATTTTTGGTTGCACCTTCTTTTGTTGAATGGGATATTCAATCAGCAAGGTTATCACCGTAGCATGTAGGAGACGTGCCCTTTTTGGGCAACTTCTCAACTCTCTTACTTTAGAAATCCGGCGTTTGCTTTGAAAAGAAGCGCTTCATCCAATTTTCGAGGTGACCTCAATCATTGGATTTTTCTCTTCTAGGTAGCGCTTCCAGTGTACTAATTACGCAATATTTAGAAACGACTAAGTCAGGCGAGTAAGCCAAGCACTGCAAAATTTCCCGATCAAAATCCACGATCTCTTCATATGTAATCCTTCGCCACATGCAGATATGGGTTAGGGTGGGGTAACACCGTATCGAGAATTTCTGCGTGAACTTGACGCATGGCTTCGGCCAAATTTCGAAGGTTGTTAAAGCCGACAATGGTCTTACCGTGGTGCAGGTATCCAGCAGCTTTCTGTAGCGAATCAGTTTGCAACCTCATCAGAAACACTAAAAAGTCCTTCTTGACGAAGGCCTGCTTTTGTTCCTGCGGGCAGCTTTCCTCCTTGTCGAATCCAGTAGTGCTTATGTGTATAGTTTAGTCAAGGCCAGAGCTATCTTCATTAGCCATCATTTTTGTCAAGAGATTCCATGCGAAAGAAGAAGAGAAATCTGAATCATGGTCACACGGTTCGCCTCCCCAGACTGGCGCAACCCATGTGGTGCCAATAGCGAACATAACTGGTCTAA